GGTCCAAGCGTGATTAGTAAATGGGTACTGTTTCAACTGGGTCCAGTTCTCTCTGTTGGTCTCCCAAAATACGTTGAAGAACTTCTAATCCACAGTTTTCGTCTTCCGCCATTCCTCGTTAAAAAAGATTACCAGAGACTCTATGATTTTTTCTACGAGTCATCTGGTTTCGTTCTAGATGAAGCTGAGAAACTGGGTATCTCACGAGAAGAAGCTTGTCATAATCTGTTATTCGCCACGTGCTTTAATTCTTTCGGTGGCATCAAAATTTTGTTCCCCAACATGCTAAAGTGGATTGCCAGAGCTGGGGTCAAATTGCATACTGAGTTAGCACAAGAGATCAGATCAGCCATCAGATCCAACGGTGGGAAGCTCACGATGGCTGCCATGGAACAGATGCCATTGATGAAATCCGTCGTATACGAAGGGCTCCGGATAGAACCTCCCGTCCCGTTACAGTTCGGGAAAGCAAAGAAAGACCTTCTGATCCAGAGCCACGACGCAGTTTTCGAAGTGAAAGAAGGGGAGATGTTGTTCGGGTTCCAACCTTTTGCGACAAAGGATCCGAAAATATTCGAGAGATCTGAAGAGTTTGTCCCGGATAGGTTCGTGGGTGACGACGGGGAGAGGCTGTTAAAGCATGTGCTTTGGTCAAACGGGCCTGAGACTGAGGATCCAACATTGGCGAACAAACAGTGCGCCGGCAAGGATTTCGTGGTGCTTGTCTCTAGGCTTCTGGTGGTGAACCTGTTCAGACGTTACGATTCGTTTGAGATCGTCGTCGGTAAGTCCCCTTTGGGGGCCGCCGTTACGGTAACGTCGTTGAAGAGAGCAAGCTTTTAGTTTGGAGAGAAATTCTTTTTAGGTTTCGTCAAGGGTATATTTGGCAAGTTATTAATGTAATTTGTTAGCATGAAATGAACTTAGTCGTCGACATACTTTTTATGGTATCCCTCCCGGTGGGTTTATCTCCGGCGACCGATGCTTGAGCTAAGGCACGGCGGGAACAGGGTGCATAAGGTACCTAAGTTGTATTCACCTCCTAATTATTCTAGGTCGAATGCAAAATGATGCATAGCTTTTCCATATAATTGTGTTTACCTATTTGTATAAATCTAAATCCTTCTTGTGCTTAAATTTTTAATGATGAAATAATGACTTTGTACCATTAATGCGTTAATGGTGCTTATGTTTCGTGTGATTGACTAAAGAAAAAGTTGGCTAATTGGGGCGTTGAAAACCTTGGAAGTGACTGTCTGCAAGAGAAGAAACGAGGGATGCGTGTGTTCTTTTGAGGCAGTTAAGTGGTTGTGATCAGCGACAGGCATGGAAAGTCAATTTTTTTTTATGTAATACGTATTCTTTGGTTGGTTCAAAACTCTCCAGTTAACCCCAAAAGAACACTGCTT